TTCTCTTCATGTGTCGGTATATTTATGCCTGCATCTGTAATTTTTCACTCCATGCATCTGAAGAAGTGGGTTGGTTTTTTTTAACCCACGAAAGCTTATGCCCAAATAAATCTGTTAGTATTTAAGGTGCCACCAGACTCCTCGTTGTTTTTTAGGGAACTAAATGACATTTTGATCATGGCACAAGATAGGAAAAGATCACTTATTAGCTCATTAATCTTTATTTGAAGTCAGTGATTTCTTCCAGGCAAATGGTAATGAATCTTTTATTGAATTGAATTAAGAAACATGAAGGCTTTTAGGATTCCATGAAACCATTGCTGCTGTAATGGAATTTCTTAAAGGAATCAGAAATATACAAACTCAAAATGTGTGAAAGAGCATTGCATTTGAAATATTACAGGTGTTGTCTTCCAGGTTTGAAATTATTGCATGAATCACTCGCACTTGATTAAAATAGTATCATGCAAATGAGAATTAAGAATTCAACTGTGAACACAGGATAGCAGCAATGTAAAATGCTTGTTTTGTTACATGCTTTTCTCACCAAAGTGGCATCATAAGTCAGTTTGGAAAAGAATTATATACAGACAGACTTCTGAGGGTAAAACCTTATAAATAGTACCAAAGTCAAGAAAAGGTTCAGGTTGAGAGTTAACAGTTTTGACAACGTCCTTTTATGTATCTGTACATTAACTCAAATTTCAATATGAACTTTAGCTACCCACAGAGAAGCATGGTTTATAGAACTCACAAAGCTTGTATGTTAAAAAAAGATAGACCTTATAGATCCAGTTACTACTACTGCATTAATATTGACATTGTTATTAGCATACTACAGACCTACACTGAAGTAGTTTTCCTAGATTTACCATCATTGCTGCCAATAGTACCGCTCCAGTCAGTGGTAGCAATGCTGGGAGCGCTTGGGTAGATAAGATTCTCCAATCGCTGTGAGGGGGTTTAGATGCTATGATGGCTAGAACACTACTGCAGACAAGGTGCCACTGCTACTACCAACTGAGCTGCACCAGTGGCAGCAAGGGTGAGAAAAATTTTAGGAAATTATATCTAGTGTAAACATACCATAGGTATCTGTGGTCAACTTTTACTATTCTTTCTATATTGAACAATGAAGTCAAATGCTATTGCTTATTCCCAAATTAAGTGAACACCATGACTAATACACCAGAAAGTTGTAACGCTTTCACAAGATTGGTTAATATGGTTAAAGCAGTACAAGCTCCTTAGCCTGGATGCAGTTATATCAGTATAAAGGTGCTTTATACCAGTATAGCTATTCCAAATATAAGGCACCTTTATATTTGTATAAATTAATCCATACTACAGGTTAGTATGCATAACTACACTGATTAAAAAACCCAAAAACCTACACACACACCCCGACAGACAGTTATGCCGATACAATTTGCAAATGTACATCAGGACTAAGATAATGATGATTGTGCTATTGTATTAACACAGAACAAATTGATAGGGTGAAATAATCCTACAGACAAATTCTTCAGGGAAAGGGCTGTGTCCACCTGTGCATTGGTACAGTGCTTAGTCTAATGGGGCCTCAAACCCTGAGTGGCGCCTTTGGGCACCAAAAACTCAGCTAACCAAGCAAATCAACCTAGCAAAAATCAACACTCTGCTGCTATGCAAGGCCAAAGAAGTAAAACAACATTCTAGGCAGACGATGAAAAGCCCTCACAAATTTGTACATTCATCTTTTTCCCCAATAGATTCTGAGAGAATAAAAACAAAACTAGAAGACTGCTCCAGCAAATTGTAAATTCTTGGAAATATTTCTACCTACCTAATAATGGACTTTTCTGTTTTCTCTTCTTTATCAGCCTGGCCAGGTTCTTCCTCAGTCTTGCCAGCAACATCTTGGGCTTTTACCCTTGCATCTCTCCGTGGCGGTCTGATCTGCAGATTAGGAGGACCACGTCGGACATGAGGAGGCTTTGAATGTTTCTAAGAAAGAAAGAAAGGCAAAAGTAAACCAAGATGCATATGATCTACTGCATGGGTGGCCAATACCCAGTCCAAAAGCATCCCAGAGCTGTACAATGCAACCTGAGAATACCCTCATTTTTAATACAGAGATGTAGTGCAGGGGACTACAGGTCACAGCATGCAACCTTTCATCTCAACCAGACAGGCCAAGGAGGAGGGAAATCATGTTTGAATTTTTTTTATCTCTGGTAAAATTGTACATAGCTCCTTGGGTAACAGTTACCAGTGAGGATATTAGGCTACCTGTATCATTACCAGGTATATCTATAACACACAGCACTGTCAAAAATGTGAACCTGTCATAAACATATATATAACAAGGTGCAACAATTGACACTAGTTATAACAAAGAGATGCGTTACTAAGGGCTTACGCAATACAGAAGTGATCCAATACCAGGAATTATTTTTCATAGTAGATGTACATTATACAAATTAGAAGAAAGCACCACATGAGAGATCATTTTCATTTAAAACAAAGAATCCTAAATTCCCTGAACTAATTGTGTGAACAGGAGAGTGTGTGTAGAGACACACACACACACACACGCACTTCAAACAGAGTTCCTTTTTCCTATTACTCTCCCAATGAATTTCTTGGAAACCAGACAGTTTGTATGATCCGTTAGAAGTGTATCCATAAAATAAATAACTTTCACACCCCTTCAGAGTATCTCAGACGTAGAGAGCTACTAGATTTATTATTATTTCCACCTATTCTGGGAAGCTGTTGCAGTTTACCAGAGATGCCGACTATCCCCTGCCTCATATTCAACTGTACACACTCTAGCCAGCCACAGAGCCTGGGCTGCTCACATTTCCAGGACTGAGGTTTGGAGTACTCCATAGCAGGCTAGAGCACATATTGCTGAATGGGAGGCAGGCAATGGTGGTATGCCTGGGCCTAGACCAAGCACAAGCAGATTCATCAAGATAGTAAGATGGAGCCTAGAATACCAGGTCACAAAAGCCTGAAGTATCAGCAGTCACAAGCACACCAGTGGTTTAGGAAACATACTGAACACAAGTTCACTATTAAACAAAGCCCATATGATATCTACTGAGAATTCCAGAAATACCTTACCCCCACCTCCCAAATGCTTTCATTATATATTAGTGCTCCTATTAGACAGCTGACTAGCTCCTTCAGACTGAGCTACGAAGAGAGTTCTCAGAAATCAGAGCAATTCTCTCCTCTTTAAGTCTATGGATACAAACAAAAGCCAGAAAGTAGACAATGTTTTCACCCCTCACTGGAACCAAAGCCTTTCTTGAGAGTTGAGTTCTCTACCCATAGGAAATTAATTCTTATAACAGGCCTTCATTTCTTTTTCCATTACGACTGTTGGAATTAAATGCTATTTGCAGCTTTCACAAACCCTATTAGGTAGGGTTAAGAGAAACATTTTTCCTTGCAATACCTGAGGGGAAAGCTCTGGGTAGTTGGCATCTGCTTTCTGCGGTGCTGGTAAAACAGCTGGATTTGCTGGTTTCAATCCAGGGATCTCTAGTTCTGTCTTCTGATCGTCTGATAATTTGTTCGTTAGACCTATATGTATAAAATACATTCAGTACACATCAAACTACCTTGCATAAGGAATTAACAGTTTCGAAGCTAGCTGGAAAAATAACTCTCCCCACACCAAATGTAGACAAGCCCTATGGTAGTCACCTGTATGTTATATGCAAGTGATACCTTTGCCCCAAAAAAAAAAAAAAAAATGCTACAGAAGCCAACAGATCTTACATGTCTAACTGAAAGTGTTAAATTACAAGCCTCCATAATAATAGATTGGGGTTTTTTTTGGTGATTTAAAAAAACAAATAAAACAAACAAACAAAAACTTTTCAATGCTGTAAGAAGACAGTGTTGAAGGTAAACTAGGACCTGTTTCCCAGAAGTGCTTAAAGAGTTCAAGCCTTCTGCATAATCACAATGGGGAGAAAATTGTTTATCTTACCGCCTAAGTCTTTAGGTTTGGGCTGTTATTTTATTTATTTTTTAAACTAAGTACTAAGGATGTTTGCACCCTCTAAACTCATTATTAGCCAAAACAAAATATCACTTTAGATATTCAGGATAAAGAACCAAAATGAACCAACTGTTATTCAAATTTTTTAAAAAGGGATGGCTAGGGTAATTTCTACCTGAACATTTGCAATAAAACGTATGTCACATTAACTAAATTTCTGAATAAAATATTTTTTTCTGGCAGACGTTGAGCACACCTTGTAAAAATGTAATTACAAAAACTAAGAACAAGCAATCTTTTAACCGTTTATGACATTAGGGCAACCTTGAAATGTATGAAAGACGTACTTTTCCACTGTTCCCCCATGTTTGTGTATGAAATGACTCCACAGACTGCCAAGAAGGCAAACAGGAAGAGAATTACACTCCGCTGTAGTCGAGAAAGCTGCTTCCATTTCTTTGAGAAAGAAAATAAATAAGAGGAAAACTCTTTAGCATGACAAGTAGAAAGCTAGCCCGTTGCTGTCAAACAAACGAACACATGAAAGTTCTTTCAGAGTAAAAAATATGAAATTGATTATGTGTTTTACACTGTTTCCTATTTTGAAAATAGATCAGTTACTTTGTCATGATATGGAAAGTAGCAACACAGCATGCTAGCATATGGTAGGCTAGGTTTGAGAACAAGATCAGGGCCACTCACTGCCGGAGTCTGTGGAGACTTGAGAAATTGCATTGTGATAAATCTCCCAGACAGATCATCAGCTGCAGTACACAGATTTTTACAACAACCTTTCACTGGCTGATCTATGTATCTGCCCAGACTTGGTTCTGGAAAAGAGCCAAGAGGCTCCTCCCTTCTGGCCAACATGGTATACACAAGGGACATACAAAGCAGAAGCAAAATAGGTGTGGGGAGGAGGGAGAATGAAAAAATGACATTAGTGCATCAAAGGAGGAAGCTTAAAAATAAAATAAGCATCTCAAGCTGGATAGGAAAAGCAAGACACCCCACCTCAGACAATCACTCTTTGTGAAACTGTTATGTAAACGAGAGACTGCCACCAAAAAAAGACACCCACATTCAGCTTTGGGAAAGTGCAGTAAACCAACAGCATAATTAACAAGAAAATAAAACACAAGAGACTGTTCACAATTAAGTACAATCCTACAAAATCAGAAGCCAGAATACAGTAAAAACCAGCCTTCTATTACAGATGTTCAGTAAACTGCATTTAGTGATAACATTTTGGGTCTTGTATATTTTAGTGCCCCCGCACCATACATACCATTTCACTCGGGGGGGGGGGGGCGGTTAAACCAGAGTAACAGCTTGCTGCTAACTTTTTGCACTGGGCAACCCTTCCCTCACTGGGCAAAGCAGCATTTGGGCACATCCCTCAGTTTCCCAGAAGCTCTTCTGCCCCACGGTACTTCCACAAACCTTGCACTCCACTCCTACCAGGGTTGAGACACCAACTGCTTCCACACTGTTGCAAGCAACCACAGGCCACAAACATTTCAGTGAAGACTGACATGTCAACACATTTCACTCTGCCAACCAGCATAGACATATGTTTCCTGTTATTCCCTAAACTGATCAGTGTACAGCAGAGGTCCCAAACTGTGGGGCACGCTGCCCTAGGGGGGCACAGAGGAACATTTGGGGGGTGCAGCTAGGGCCCAGGCCTGCCCCCACAGGGGGGCAGAGAGGAAGAGCTATCCAGCTCTGCTCCCAGCTCTACACCCGGGGCCCCGGCTGCCGGCTCCAGCCCCCTTTACTCCTGCTTGCGTTCCCTGCTCCCGGGTATGGGGGGTGGAGGGGCGAGCGCAGACAGGGTAAGGGGGGTTGAGGTAAAAAGTTTGGGGACCACTGCTGTACACTGATCTTGTACATCCCTCCCCAACACAAAGGGTGAGACGTTTATATTGCTCAATCTCCTATGTCACCTTTTATCACAACCACCTCCTGGGCTACCTGTATCCTTATCCCCAACTTGGTTCCCCAGGGCAAGTACAAGTGCAGAGGCTCACCAGGGTGGGAAGAGAATGCAAGTTCCTAATGCTTTCACCTCACTTCTCTCCTGTCTCAAGAGAGAGACGAAAAGGTGCAGCCCCAGACCCTCCCCACGAGCATGTTCACCAGCATCCTACCTCTTTTCCTTGAGATGGGTAGGATAAAAGGGGGGGGTGGGCATCCAGTGCCCCTCTAGGCATATCCTACCTCCTTTCTTTAGACTGGGAGAAGAGAGATGCTGCCCTGTCACCCACCTTCCCTAGGCAGGGGTGCCTTATACCCTCTTCCTCACCATCTAGGGTGCCCTTTCACTGGGGGGAATGGGCACTCCCTCACCGATACTGCCACTGCCTGTCCTCCGCCCCCCTGCTTAAGTGTCGGAGATACCCCGACCCTCCTCCACATCAAGTGGGGAGCATCGCGCCCGCTCCAATGGGGGTTCTGCCACCCCCCCCCCCACATGCCTTTCGAACAGTGGGGGGATTTTCCCTCTTCCCTTGACTGCAGGGGAACCCGCCCCCCAACCTGGGATTCCACCCCTCCCCCCACACCTGGGATTCCACCCCTCCCCCCAACAGGGCCCCCCCCCTCCAGCGCGGGCCGGGGCTACTAGGTTCCCCTCAACCTCCAGCAGGGAGCAGGGTCTCCCCGCACCCAGAGGAGGGGCAGGACCCCTCCCCCTCCAAGAGACCCCCCCTTCCAGCAGGGAGGGGGCGGGGCGGCCACGTCACCTGGGCCCCTCCCCTTCCAGCAGGAAGCTGCCCCCCCCGGGCCCCTCACCCTCCAGCAGGAGCGCCTCCTCCAGGCCTTGCTGTTGTTGTAGCCGCCTGCCCCCGCCGCCTCCGCGGGGCTCAGCGTCACCGAGATGAAGTCCCGTCGCGGCGGCGGCGGCGACGCCGAGTACATAACGGCGGTTTCAGGACGCAGAGCCCGGCGCGCGCACCGCTCCCAACCGCCAGCCGCCGTCTGCCCCAACCGCCATTATCCTGCTCCGCAGCCTCCCAGCCGCGCCAGACAAGCCCGCTTCCGGGTGCCTCTCTAGCCTCACGCCCCAGCGGGACTCTATGGCGCCCATAGCAACAGCCTCCCCCTTGCATGCCTTAGCAACGCCAGGCCTTGGCTACTGGGTGGCCATGGGGGCACCAGAGCTGCCCTTCCCCCCCTCATCGCGCCCCTGTAAGGGGGAGCAAACCTCATTGTGGAACATCCCCCCCCCGACCTCCACCTAGGGTTATCACCTTTGAAAGGCAAAACAACAAACAAAGCTGGCACCCTCCCCCCCAAAGCAAGCCTACCACAATCCCAACCACAAGGCCACTCCGCAACCCCCCTTCAACAGCCACTTATAGTATCCAGAGAGAGAACGCATATAGATAAGAGATGGGTAATGCCGCACGCCTCCTCACTCTCGCACAACTCACGCCCTCTCTCACCCGCGCGCCGTGCGCTTGCGTGTCGGTGGCACACGGCTGCTGGATTGCCCCCAGTTTTGATCTCTTATAGCTTAAACTGCGGAGGGGGGAACACTGCAGCTGGCCACAGACACTTTGAACACTAGATATCCCAGTGTATTGTGATAATAATGCAAATCTTTAGACCCACTTTAAAAAAACCGCAGCAGATTAAATTATTTTTCTGGCAAAGCCATAAAAAAAAAAAAAAAAAAGGACCAGGCCAGTCAAATACCAGCCAGGTGGTACCCTACATCCACCAGCCAGGCAGGGCACTTAGTGCAGAATTTGATCACTCTTTGGCTACAGATAGGGATCGTTTCACCTGTCATCACAATGCAGCCACAGTGGGGGTGAGGCACAGCAACCATTTTACCAAGGCCAGTTCAGCTAATGCAGCTAGGGTTACCAACTGTGGACGAATTCCTGGAGGTTTCATCACATGACATAATCTTTAATTAAA